GCCCGCGCCCCGGCCCTTCCGCGCCACCCGGGCCCGAGAGGCCGCGCGGGAGCGGGCGTCCGAGAGATGGAGGGGCGGAGGCACCTACCAGCTGCCGCCGGATCCAGCACCACATGCCCCCGCCGTCGCCGTCCCGGTCCCGCGGGACGCGGGAGCCGAGGGGCTGCAGGACGAGACCGACGAGCCAGAGGTGGGAAGCGGGAGAGCCCCTCCGGCTTAAGTTCCGCTCGTCGCCGCCGCCGCCACCTCACTCCCAGCGCCGGGTCCCCATCCCGCCGCGCCGGCCCCGAGGTCCTACAGGCGCGGCCTCGGCGCCGCCCCCGCCCGGCGCAGCTGAGCCTGCCGCCGCGCCGCAGCCACCTTCATTATTGACCGTTGTCAGCCAAAGCACCGCCAAAACTCCGCCCCCGCCCGGCCCGGCCCCCCGGTCCCACCCGCCCCGCCCCCGGCGCCTCGGGCCGCCTCCGGACGTGACGACAGGGGCTGCGGAGACCCAGGGCCGGCGCGCTCCGCCGCCGTCCGAGCTGAGGTCAGCCGTGTGGGCGGGGCCGGCAGCCAGCGTGGAGGGGCTGGGGATTCTCGAAGGCGGGTTCTGCCCTCTGCTCCCCTCCCCTCATTCCAAGGATAGGGTTAAGTCGCGTGTGTGTGTCTGTCTCCGGAGTCTGCAGCTTCTAGCCGACTCCTCTGTTTCTACCTCCTGTTGCAGGTTTGTTTCTGGCTCTCTGCCTCTTTTGGGCCCCCTGTCCCCCAACACGCACAATCTCGAGTGTAGTGACTGAAGGTTAATCCACAGAGGTCTCCAGTTTTGGTTCAGTTAAGTTGCCAAAGGCTTTGTCTCGACGCGTAACGCAGCCCTCTTTAGCAGACCATTGAACAGGGGCTAGGGGAATCATGATCACTACCTTTAAGTAATTTTGAAAGGGGTTGCAACTCCCCAGTACCTGGTCCAGTTTGGACTAGTGTTTCCGGGAGAAGGGACGAGATAACTCTGTTTTAGGATGCTAAAATGAATAGGTTAGGGGGGAAAATACTTTGTATGGAAAGGTAGTTGTTTACTGTTAACTGCCAAACTCTTGCAGTCAAAAACACTAGAAGTAGCAAGACCTAGGTGAGATAAGGTTGTAGATAAATGCAGATAAGAAGGAATATAAAAGCAACTGGAACAAGCCTTTGACTTGAAAGGCTGAAATGAAGCGCCTGGTCTCTGTTCAAAAGCAGCCACATAGACATCTTGGGTCTTATGAATAAGAATTGTGTGGAATATTTTTGCTGAATTAAGGCGCACTTCACCACTCAACACACAGGAGTTTGTGTTTTTCGAAAAATGTTGTATTAAGTGAAAACAAATCTAACCGAGATTTGCTTGGCTAGGCAAGTTATTGCATATATGTACTCAGTCTTTTACTTTCAGTAGACAATCGTTATTATATAATGATTATCCAGCACCACAAATAGAACCTTTCCTGAAGGATATTTATGATCTATAAAACCAGCAGTGTAATTTTATGTTATGAATAATCCAACTACAAAAATTAGCTAGGTATTTAAAGAGAAAAAGTAATCTTACTTTTGTTCTTGTGACTAAACCTTGCTTGGGGACCCTAAAAGAAAGTTTATGATACATTTACTTATTTGTTATAGTGATAAAACATTACTACCGTTCATGGAACACTCGTGTGTCTCAGGCCCTGTATTAAGCTCTTTACTTGCTTGGTCTAATTTAATCATCATCAGTCCTTTGAAGTGGATATTATTATTCCCATTGAATGGATGTGGAAATGGAGGCTCAGGTTAAGTAACTTGGCAAAGCTGGGATTCACATTCTGGATGGTCAGGCAACAAAGTTCATGCTCTTAAGATATGTAAAGAAACAAAAATATGACCATACCTACTTTTATTCATCTGCAAGTGGTCTGATTAAAATTAGGCCTGGAAGTATTTATATATATGCCACCAAAGTTTGTCAAGACAACCTAAGAAACAGATCTAGAGGACACTTGGTGCATTATTATTTAACTGTGTCCCAAATTTCAGAAGGTAGAAGTGGGAGGAGGAGTGATTCTAAATGCCATGGTGGAATATTGTAAGAAGTGATCTCAAGATAACTGTGTAAAGATCATAATTATAGCTCAAACTGTCAGGAACAGAATGAGCACTCAAGCAGTGTTCTAAGCAGTTTTCAAGAGCAATATTATACATCTCATATTAATCCAAGGAGCATAAAATAGAGTATTTTGATACCGTAGAGTATAACCTATAACCTTTAGTGGTGATGAAATCAATTTAGTGTGTCATGATCACTATTTTATTTTTTATTTTTTTTTTTTAAGATTTTATTTATTTATTTTCCCCCCAAAGCCCCAGTAGATTGTTGTATATCATAGCTGCACATCCTTCTAGTTGCTGTATGTGGGACGCGGCCTCAGCATGGCCGGAGAAGTGGTGCGTCAGTGCACGCCCAGGATCCGAACCCGGGTCGCCAGCAGCGGAGCGCGCGCACTTAACCGCTAAGCCACGGGGCCGGCCCTATGATCACTATTTTAAAGAAACGATAGAAAACAGAATATATCGTATAGTGTAAGTAGTATGTATTGTTTTGTGAAACTTTTGTTTTGCATAGTATTGGGACAGTTTCTGGCTAGTCACAAGCATTTACAGGAAATGGGCAATCCCTGGAATTTTCTGAACAAGGAAATGGCATGATGAAATCAGTGTTATCCCATAAACAGTATATGTGATAGGTTGGAGAGAGAAGAAAAGTCAGATAGGAAATGACTGCTGGCGTGAAGTATTGAGTTCAAAAGTCCTGGCCGGGGGAAGAGCCAGAAGTAAAGCATGTTGTAGGGCATTGTGATCTGGTAACAGATAAGGAAACCTGAAACGTAAGCCAGTCCATATGAAGTGACAGACCTTCCAAGAGAAGAAGCTTACCAGCATCACTTAATAGCCACTGAATTAATGGTAAATATGGTTCTTTTTGTTGGGTAAACTTATTAATATAATTCTGTGCTAGTTATACTTGTGAGATGTGTTCATTCCCGGGGAAAAAACATCTCCTGGTTAGGTGTAATAGAGATTCAGATATAACAAAGACGAAACAAAGAGGGCTGTTTTTCTTTATCAGAACATCTTGGACTATCAACAGAAAGAAAGCACAGACTGTGAACTTGTTAAGGTCAAGATTCCTGGCTTATTCATTTTAGTGCCCATAGTATCCAAAGAGTACTTGGTAAATGTTTGTTAAATGAATGAATAAGTTAATGTCAATGACTGAGTGGTTAGAGAAAAAATACCTAGTTCAGAAATATCAGTGATATAAAGCGAAGCATACTGAATGATTTCAGGAGATCCTAAGCTGTGCTGTAAGACCGGTAGTCACCATCCTTTAGACCCTGTTGTGTGCCTCTCAGAACTCTTCACAAGTCAGTCAGTTTGAAGGACGCCGAGCCTTGCCAGACTGTTACCTTAATTATTTCTGTAGCAATAGAGCCATCAGATGGGCCCTAGAATCTGCTTTTTTTTTTTTTTTTTTTTAAATGAGGAGATCAGCCCTGTTCTAGCATTTGCCAATCCTCCTCTTTTTTATGCTGAGGAAGACTGGCCCTGGGCTAACATCCGTGCCCATCTTCCTCCACTTTATATGGGACGCCACCACAGCATGGCCAGCCAAGCAGTGCGTCGGTGCAGGCCTGGGATCCGAACCGGCGAACCCCAGGCTGCCGCAGCAGAGCGCGCACACTTAACCGCTTGTGCCACTGGGCCAGCCCCTCTATCTCATTTTTTGAAAGGGCAACTTTTCACTTTCTCAGAATCATAAATGTAGTAGATTACAAATTATTCCACTTAAAAAGCAGTTTCTTATATAGGCAACACACTATTTGACATTGGTCATAAAGGAATCTTTTCAGATGACATGCCTACCCAGACTAGGGAAACTAAAGAAAAAATAAACAAGTGGGACTTTATCAGATTAAAGAGCTTCTATAAGACAAACGAAACCAGAATCAAGATAAACAGACAACCCACCAACGGGGAGAGAATATTTGCAAAACACATCTGACAAGGGGTTGATCTCCATAATATATAAAGAACTCACACAACTGAACAACAAAAAAACAAACAACTCGGTCAAAAAATGGGCAGAGGAAATGAACAGACACTTCTCCAAAGAAGATATACAGATGGCCAATAGGCACATGAAAAAATGTTCAACATCACTAATCATCAGGGAAATGCAAATCAAAACAACACTAAGATATCACCTCACGCCCGTTAGAATGGCTATAATCACCAAGACAAAAAACAACAAGTGTTGGAGAGGATGTGGAGAAACAGGAACACTCATACACAGCTGGTGGGAGTGCAAACTGGTGCAGCCTCTATGGAAAACGGTATGGAGATTCCTCAAAGAATTAAAAATAGAGATGCCCTATGACCCAGCCATCCCACTACTGGGAATCTATCCAACGAGCCTGAAATCAACAATCCAAAGAGGCTTATGCACCCCTATGTTCATTGCAGCATTATCACCATAGCCAAGAAGTGGAAGCACCCTAAGTGTCCCTCAACTGATGACTGGATTAAGAAAATGTGGTATATTGGGGCCGGCCCCGTGGCTTAGCGGTTAAGTGCGCGCGCTCTGCTACTGGCGGCCCGGGTTCGGATCCCAGGCGCACACCGACGCACCGCTTCTCCGGCCACGCTGAGGCCACGTCCCACATACAGCAACTAGAAGGATGTGCAACTATGACACACAACTATCTACTGGGGCTTTGGGGAAAAAAAGGAGGAGTGGCAATAGATGTTAGCTCAGAGCTGGTCTTCCTCAGCAAAAAGAGGAGGATTAGCATGGATGTTAGCTCAGGGCTGATCTTCCTCACAAAAAAAAAAAAGAAAAAAAAAGAAAATGTGGTATATATATACAATGGAATACTAATCAGCCATAAAAAAAAGACAAAATCATCCTATTTGCAACAACATGGATGGGCCTGGAGCGTATTAAGTTAAGTGAAATAAGCCAGAAAGAGAAAGACAAACACTGTATGATCTCACTCATATGTGGAATATAAACCAACACATGGACAGAGAAAACTGTACTGTGGTTACCAGGGGCAGTGGGGGTAGGGGATGGGCACAAGGGGTGAAGGGAGTCATATATGTGGTGATGGACAAACAAAAATGTACAACCCAAAATTTCACAATGTTAAAAACCATTAAAACATCAATAATAAAAAAAAAAAAGCAGTTTCTTTCTGATTAATTATCATTCCAGAATTTCCAGACTAGACTTTATAGGCAAAGAAAAAACAGACTTCAGGCAAGCTTTTCCAGTACTGACCAGAATTATATATTTTATCACCTTGTGAAGAAATTCATTAGGAACAGTATACCATTACATATTTTCAACTTTTCTTGAAAATTTCTCTAACAGATATCAGTTGTGGACTA